GTTCCTCTTCCCCCTGTCTCCCTTCCACCGCTGCCCAAGCAGGCCTCCGACGTTCGCTCGGCCGATTGGAGCTTGACCCCCTCATTCCTTTGAAGAACCTCTTTCCATCCTCCACTTCTTTCGCCACCTGGTACACCTGTCGCAGCTTCGCCCGTACCCCCAAGGAGTATAGTCGGCTTCTCATGTCTCGTATCAAGTCCCCATCCAGTCCGTTGACGAACTTGGTCACTAGGATGCGTTCCTCCACGCAGCCCATATCCTCTGCCAGCTCCAGTAAACGGTTATAGTAGGCCAACAGCGATTCTGCCGGCGCTCTTATGAAGTCTTGAAACTCCGCCATCCGGTTAGCCGAATGCTCCGGGAACTGCTCCTGCAGGCTATCCAAGAAACGGTCCGTAATCTCTGCCGGTAAGATATCTCCTCTGTTGCTCCGCATCAGCAGCCCCTGCCTCTCCACGCAGTAATGAGTCAACGCCTCTCCTTTGAGAGTCCTCCCCAAGCCTCTGAAAAATTCGATAGGATCCAGTCGCTCCCTGTCCCAGCAGTAGCGAATGTCTTCAATCATCATCAGGTAGTTTTTCAGCGTGGGCTCCTCTCCAGGTGCCCCCGAGAAGCGGTCTGGTACCTCAATTTTGGGTGGTGCAATACTCATCGACCTGCCTGTCCCCCAGCTTGTGTTCCCTCGTTCTCCACTCCCTGCAGGTCGCCCTGCTCTCCCGGCCTCCGTGGCTTCGTATCCTCCGGCAGAGAATCCGTGATATGCTTCCCCGCCTCGCTGACTTCGTCGTTCCTCCGATTGATCGTCTCCTCCCCTCAAACTACGCCTTTCTTCTCGTTGATCTTCTTCTCCTCTCAGACTCCGCCGTTCTTCTCGATGATCTTCCCCTCCCTTCTGACTCCGTCGATCTTCATGTGGATCGTCTCCTCCCAGATCTGGATTTCCTCGGCGAGATCCACTCCCCACAGGTCGCCCTCCACTCCCCTCCGCGGGCGAGTCGCATGCCGAGCTCGGCTGTTGTTCTCCGTGTACACCTCGTTCTTCCTCCCGATCCCCGCCTTGGTTACCGCGTGGGTTCATCCCTCCTTCGCCTGCCCGAAATCCAGGCATCCTGACCGGCGGATCACGTCCCTCCATCATCCTCGCCGGGAATCGGTGTCCAGAGCGCAGTTGATGAGTGTGAAGCTCGCGGTCAAAATTACTCATTCCTCACGGTGCATCACCGCGAGCAACTGCAGGCAGTAGATCCTGCCACCTCTACTCTCAACAATCGTAATCCTGACCACCCTTTTTGCTTGTATGAAACAATACTTAACTCCCTCGCAAGGGCTCCGCCGATTTGCTTCAGCTCCTCTCTACTGCTAATTCCCCGTGGATTAGGAAATCACAATTGCAGTAAATGAGAAACATACAAGCAAAAAGCAATGAGTCCGAGCGCTACTTCCGACTACATCCTCTCCTGCCTAGGTGCCTTGTCCCGCAAGCTACCTCTACTCTTAAGCGCGAGTCAGCCGAGCTGATCGCGTAGGCTTCAAGGTGCTAGCTGGGTCCCACTGGGCCCACTAGGCATGCACCGCCTTCCAGCCTGTGAATGTCGAATTGAATTCCCAGGCTGGCTAGAATCGAATTCGCCCTCATCCTCCTCACCAACCCCCTCGAACTCCTCAGTAGCTCGACTCTGTATAGTACAGTAACATTCCAAAAAGAGCAAACAAAGTAAAATGCAAAAAGCAGTAAACTATAGTACACCTCACCTTGGCTGCTGTGGAATTCACACTTAGTTGCCAGCTAAGTGTTAATAACGCGACAAGTGGGAGAATGAGGGGTGCAGACGGAGAATGAGGGGTGCAGTGGGAGAATGAGGGGTGCAGAGGGAGAATGAGCGGTGCAGAGGTTGAATGAGCGGTGCAGAGAATGAGGGGTGCAGTGGGTGAATGAGGGGTGCACTGGGAGAACGAGAGGTGCAGTGTGAGGCACATTCATCGTATATAGACAAGATAAATTTGCTACATGTGTGGTATTTTAGTGAATTTACCTCGAAAGTGTGGGCATGGGATAGTGCCCACGAACTAAGGTACAGCGGGTTCATGCCACATCCTGATTCTCGTCTTCCCAATGTGGAATGGACGTCTGGTCTCCCGTGTTGCTTCCACTTTGCTTCCCCTCCTGCTTACCCCTTGCTTCGCGTTTTCTCCACCTCCTGCTTGTTACAGTGCCGAGGTGATTGAAATGAAGGTGGGGGCAGCAGAGGGTGACAATAACGAGGCCAGCCAGGAGGTGTATCATGTATGTGGAAGGGGATGGGGAGGCGCTGGGGCACCTGCCTGCAGTCTTCAGAATACTCCCTGGCGCTATTGACCTCCTTCTTTAGCCTTTCTCTTTGGACGAGTATGCTCTATTACGAATTGACTTCTAGAGAATCGGGTAACCAGTTGTTTCTTGCACCCTCTCTTGTTGCGGTAATTGCGCATCTGTAAGCTTTGTGCAAGCATGTAGGTAACTATCCAGTAATTTATGCTGCTTCATGCCATCTTGGAAAAGAACCATGCAAGCAATTCGATTAGACAACTTTGGAGGCCACGCCACCTACGGTACAATTCAGGTGGGAGACAGGAAGGAGGAGGGAGAGGGAGCGAAGGGCGGGGAAGGTTTGGAGTGGGGGGAGGGTGGCCTGGTTCTGGTGGAAGGTGATGACCGGGCAAGGGACGAATGGGATCTCGAGCTCCAGACATCTCAAGACGCCGACAGGTGGAACGGGGGGATGGGGGGAATGAGGGATGGGGGAGATGGGGGAATGGGGGAAGAGAGCGATGGGGGGTTGGTTGGGAGATGGTGAAAAGGGGAGGGGGGAACGGGAGGGGAACTGACTTTTGAGTCGACTACAAAAATGGGCGACAGGGAGAAAGGAAGGAGGAGAAATAGCAGGCGGGAGAGGGGGAGAGCACAAGTAAAAGCGGAGCGGAGAGCAGTGGGAGAGAGGGGGAGAGCACAGGGGGACCGAGGGTGAAAGAACAGAGCTTAAAGTGCAGAAGTGCAGGGGGGAAGATGGGAGGGAGTCCAGTGGAGGCAGCAACTCACGCAGGGAGCTGAGAGGAGCTTATGACTCACGGGATATGATTGTGGGGCGCCTCAAAAGTCACGCAGGGAGCGCAGTGGAGGCTACAACTCACGGGCATTGCGCTGCTAGACTCGTCCACCCAGCAGTGTTTGAGAAGAACCCCGCCCACGTCGCCACCACTCTCAACCGCTCCAATTTCGGGCACGCCGCGCCGATGCTCGACAGCAGCTCGTTCCCCGGACTCGAGCGAACCTCCACGGTCAGGTCGCTGATATGGGTAAATACCCTCGAAAAATCGTGCAGATCTTTGAACCACCCGTTCCACTTGGAGCTCTGAAAGGGTGAGACGAATTCGAGGTGGAGCGAGTGGGGCGTGCGGCGGGAGAGGCGGCGGAGGCGGGAGCAGGAGAGCGCGACGCTGCAGCGATCGTGGGAATGTGTCAGAAGGGTGAGTACCAGGGATAGGAGCTCGCCCGGGAGAGAAAGCAGCAGGCAGTCTGGAGTCAAGTCACGCTTCGACGGCGAGGTGTGTCGCCCGCCATTCATCGTCGCGAACCCGCGCGGCGAAGAAAGAGTAACAATTAGAGTTACCACTGTAAAATTGACTGCAGGAGTCTGTGATTTCCTTGTAACTGGTGCTCGAGGTGCCAAATGAAATCACACAGCAATCAAGAAAAAAGTGAGGAGAGCACCAAGAAAGTGGAGCAAACAGAGGAATATCAGGATCGATCGCTTATTGTCGGGGTTAGAGTTGGTCCTGTAGGCTTCAGAGACGCTGAGTAGGTACAAAGCGAGGCGGATCGATATTTGGGCTCTCGATCTTTGCTGACTTGTACCAAGTTCGAACGCGCAGACAGCAATCAGCAAGAGAACGAGGTCGTACGCACTTCTAAAGCGCGCGCCGGAGCCAATCGACGAAGTGTTGTCTAACTCAGGCGGCGCAGGAAAAGTGCTGAATGTACATCCAACTAAAATAGGAGCGTTTGTGCTCCACTGAAGAAGATCTTGAAAAATAGGTTTGGCAGATGAGACTAGGCGGAAGGCGAGGAAGGAGGGAAAGCTTGGGATTGGGAGGTTCGGGACGAACACAAGTTGGACTTCAAGCTGACGCTTCAGTAACACTGGTCAATAAATTTTACCTGTTTGTATAGACATGTCTGCATCATACTGCGAAAGCGAATTTCTGTCAGAATTTGCCTGCTTAGAGGGAATACATAGGTAAATTTAATAACGCGGACAAAACTTGCCTGCTTAGAGAGAATGTATCCGTTGATGGGGTCTGTTGCCTTTGTGGATTCATCACAGGCGAGGCGACACGACGTCTAGTGGCTCTCGCAGTCTAACAGGACATACGACCTCTTTATATAGATGTGGTCGTCTTAGTCGGCGTTTATCTTTTCTGGTTTGTTGATTCCAATTTCCAAAACCTGTTACCAGGCAACCACGCTTTGCCGCCTTCCGTATCACCTTCGTAACCCTAATCGCTCCTCTTCGCCGTGCTAATTCGCGAGTATGAAAGGCTCACGACTCAAATCATCCCCCGAGAATGATCCTCACGACTCCATTCTGCTTTCTCTCCCCGATGAGCTCCTATCCCTAATTCTCACCCGTCTGGATCGTGCCCACGATCGTTGCAGCGTTGCTCTCTCCTGCTCCCGCCTCCCGCCGCACGCCCCACTCCCTCCGCCTCAAGTTCTTACCCCGTCAGAATTCCGATAAAAAGGGGTGGTCCAATAATCTGGATAGATTTTCGCGGGTATTTACCCATATTCGTGGGCTGACCGTGGAGGTTCGTTCGAATCCGGGGGGAAGCGAGCTTCTGGCGGGAATTGGCGCGGCGTGCCCGAAACTGGAGCGGTTGAGTGTGGTGGCGACGTGGGAGGGGTTCTCCACCTTCTTTTCCTTTACCCTGAACGATGCTGATCTAGGGAAGCTCGCAAAGCAATGCCCGTGAGTTGCAGAACCCGGGTCGCAACCCCTGCCTTCTTCCTCCCTTTCCCCCTTGTTCCCCCCGTTTCCCATTCTTCCCGCCATTTCCCCTTTCTGCCCCCCTTTCCCCCTTCTTCAACCCCTTTCCCCTTTCTTCCCCCCTTCCCCCTTCTTTCCCGGTTCCCCCCTCACTTCCCCCCTCCTTTCCCCCTTCTTCCCCCATCTCACCATTTTTCCCCCTTCCCCCCATTGTCTCCCCCTTTGTGCTCGCTTTATATTTCCCTTGCCCTCGTCCCCTTCCCCCCTTGCCCTTTCCCCTGCTTCCCTCTTCCTTCCCTCTATTTGCGCCAGCCCTCCCTCCCCCTCCCCCTCTTGCCCCTCCCTTTCTCATTCTCCCAACCTGCTCTCTCCCTCCCTCCCCACCTTCCGTCGTGGGTCCTTCCCCTCTTCCTTTTCCAACTTTCCTTTCCTCTGTCCCCTCCCCATCCCCCCCGTGCCTGCATCCCCTCTCGCCATTGCACTCCCATCTTCATCCACGTCCGTTCTCCCTTGTTGACTTTTGAGTTGACTTACCTTCATCCCCTCCCGCACTTGCCCTCCCATCTTCTTGCATGGTCTCCCTTCTGTTCACTACGATCTCCCTTCTTTCCCCCGCTCTCCCCTCTTTTCCCTGCTCTCCCCTCTTTCCCCCGCTCTCCCCCCTACTCTCCATTCTTTCCCCCGCTCTCCCCTCTTTCCCCACGCTCTCCCCTCTTTCTTTCCCCCCGCTCTCAACTCTTCACCCTGCACTTTCCCTTTTCCCCACGCTCTCTCCTCTTTCCCTTTTTCCCACGCTCTCCCCTCTTTCCCTTTTCCCCACGCTCTCCCTTCTTTCCCTTTCCTCCCCGCTCTCCCCTCTTTCGCCCACGCTCTCATTCCCCTGTGCCCCCCCCATCTCCCCCCTATACGCTCCGCCTCTCCTCCTGCCCTCTCTCTCCCCTCTTCATATTGTGCCCTACCCCTCTTGTTCTCTCAGCCTCTCCCATCTGCTCTTCCTCGTCCTCCCAGGTCTTTGCCCCCTCCCACTTGTTCCCTCTCCCACTCCTCTCCTATCCTCTCCCCCCTTTCCCTGCTCTCATACCCTCGTTCCCTGTTATCCCTCCTTCCTCCTTGCTCTCTCTCCTCTCCCCCATCTCTCTTCCATTCCCCCCGTCCGCATTCCCCTCTCCAGCCTCCATTCCCCTTCTGGACTTGACTCCCAACCCTCTCATCCCCAGACCCTCACACCCAACCCTCGCACCCTCCAACCCTTATACCCTTCCCGTAGAATTCAAATGGCTCTCATTCAGCTTTTTCCTATCCGTCCTCCCTTCCCCTTTTCCGCTTCCGCCATTCCCATTTTCCCCGTCCTGCCCCCCTCTTTTCCGTCATCAGCCTCTTGACGTCTCTCGATCTCGACTCCCCATGGGAGCGTTGCACAATCAGCAGCTACACCAATAACCGTACCTCCCGCGCTCCTCTCCACGCCTTCCCCGCCCTTCGTTCCCTCTCCCTCCTCCTCCCCGTCTCTCATCTCGACTCCCTTCCCCACTGCTCCTTCCTCACCCCCCTCGCCCTCTTTAACCCCCACCCCTCCACCCTCTCCTCCCTCGCCTCCTCCTCCTCAGCCGTCCGGCCCATCCTCAAAACCTTAAACCTCAAATCAGCTGAACTAACGGCCTGCCTCGCACCTCTCGCCTCCTTCCCCTCCCTCTCCTCCCTCGATCTTCAAACCTGCAGCATCGACCCTTTTGAGCTGCATGCCCTCTCTCGCTCCCTCCACACGCTCACTGACTTGGGCATAATCAACTGCCCTTTGATCTCCAGCCACTCCCTCGCCACCCTCGCTCAAACAAACCTGGCTCTCTCCTCCCTCTCTCTCCACACCACCTCATACCATCTCTTCAGCGCACAAGGCCTCTGGTCTCTGTTTCACGCCCCTCCCGCGCACCTGCACACGCTTTCATTCTCCGGGCTGCCCTCCTTCCGCCCCGGCCTGCTTGCCCACTGCAGCGGCCTGCAATCTCTGACGATAGCAGGTCGGTGGGAGATAGCACCGCGTTTCAGCGTCAGGGGTTGTGATGATGAGGCGGGGCAGGAAATGGAAAGAATGGGGTGGGGGTTTGATGATGATTGGCTGACTTGGGGAGGAAGTTTTGGAGAGGTGGATTTGGGGGAAGCGGCAGCGGCGGCGGCGGTGCCGACTCAGCAGGTGTCTCTAGAGAGTCTTGTGAGTATGCTGGTGGTGGTGGTGCGGAGGGGAGGAGGAGAGGGGGGAGTGGGAGTGGAATGTAAAGAGGAGGGTGGGGTTGGTGGGGAGGAGGGTGAGGTGGAGGAAAGTGAAGTAGTGGAGGAAGGCAAGAGGCAGGGGGCTGTAGAAACTACAAATTCTGCTGTTGCGTCCGCTTCAGCAGGAGAAGGAGCAGAAGTATTTACTGCAGCAGCAGCAGCAGCAGCAGGACCAACAGCAGCTGCAGCTGCAGCAGCAACAGCAGTAGCAGCATCAGCAGCAAAAACAACAATAGTCGACCCAAGGAACGAAGTGAGGAGGGAGTGTGAGTATGAGTATGTAGACATTCAAACAGCAGCAGCAGCGCGCATGCCGACCGGATAGCCGCCTGCAATTGCTCAGTCAAACTGATGAAAGAAGCCAATTACTCCATAAGAAGCGCGGTCCTCAATGCTGATACTGCCCGGATGCCTTGGGGAGAAGACTCCCTAAGCAAGATCGAATCAGCAACCGACAGCATTAGGTCAGCTATCGCCTTGTGTCGGTCGGTGCAGGTGGCGATTTTGGATCAAGCTGCAGCGACAGAGAGGGAGCATGCGATGATTGAGGCGTTCTCTGCTGCTGGTGTGTTTGTGAAGAGGGAGAGTCAGGGAGGAGAGGGCGAAGGAGGAGCAGGCCTGCTTGAAGAGATCGATGGGATACTGCTTGGCAACGACGTTGCTGGGACCGGGAGTGATGGTGATGGTGCTGGCGATGCTGATGGTGGTGGTGAGAGGGAGGGGGAAGGTGCTGCGGGGAACGTGAGTCCTCGCGCGACGGCGCTGGGTGTGATACAGACGCTAATGTGGCAGCTGGGTGAGGAGAGGAGGAACACGTATGAGACCTTCGAACGCATGCGCTGGCGCGTAGCTCGTGGTGCTGCCGGCTGGCCTGCACATGAGGCAGGGCTCGCAGCAGCAGCAGGTGGCATTCTTGGTGGTGCTGCTGCTGCTGCTGCTGCTTCTGCTGATGCTGGGGGTACTGCTGCTGGTTCAGATACAGCTGCTGTGACTGGTGGTGGTGGTTGTGCTGCTGCTGCTACTGCTGGTTCTCCTGTTGTTGCTGGTGGTTTATCCAATATGGCTGCCGTTTCTGGTGGTGGTGGTTGTACTGCAGATGGGACAGCAGGACGAGCGGGGCAAGCGGAAGGAGTTGTTGAAACATCAGAGCAGGGGAGAGGGATGCAAGGAGAGGGAAGTTACAAAGGTGGATGCAAGTCAAAAGGCAGCCAAGATTCAATAAGCAGAAGCAGAGAGACACCCTTCAACCTGGCACGGGAATCCACTGATACGAGAAAAAACATTTCCGGAACTCCTGTGGAAGTACTTTGTCCTCCCCTGGAGGCCTTATGTCTCCAGAATTTTCACTTCACCACCACTCCCCAGCCTACCTGGCTGCCTCCGCACCTCCCCTCTGCATCCCCTCCCATGTGCTTCACATCTTCCAGTCTACCCTCCTCATCCTCCTCTGCGTTTCCCTTCCCGAGCCCGAGTGCCCAGCCTCAGACCTTTGAGTCCATCGCACTCGCAGCTGTCTTTGGAAGGCTCAAGGAACTCACACTGCTGTCCTGCTCTGGGCTGGAGGAAGAGCAGATACTGCTGCTGCTCCGCGCTTGTTCCCTTTTAGAATCACTAACGATGGAATACAATAATTGCTTTTCAGACCGCATGGTCGCACGAAGCAGGCTGGAGAGTCTGACGCGGTTGAGCATGGTTGGATGTGGTGCCATCACTTCGGCCGCCATTGGGGATTTGCTGGGAAGCTTCCCTAGGTTGCGGCGTTTGAATGTGGAGGCAAGCAAGGTTGCGGCAAAGGATCGAAGTGAGCTGCTCCGTGCGGGAGTGATTCTCGAGGGAGGCAACGTATATGGGAGTCAATGACATTGCCAGACAAACCGTGCATGGGGCTCTTACCGGGATCTCAGGACTTGTATATTGATGTCCCTAGGAGAACCTGCATCCCAGACTGGTGGTGCCCAAGACTTGCATAAAGAAAAAAACCACAACCCCAAGACGGTTGTAGCAACTTCCGGACTGACTGATTGACAGATGGTGGAAGTGCCGATACATTTCAGTGGTTCAGGAAACATCAAAGGGAAGAAGGTTGCAGGAAGTAAATACTTGCAAGAACAGTTAAGCAATTCTCCACTGTGTCTTCAATTCAATCAATGTGATAAAACGAATCAAGCACAGGAGCCTTGACGAAGGCCGGTCAGCAACTCAAGGTAGCCTGGTGAATCTGGTGAAATCATGCTGATGAAATTGGGGGACACACCAACACAATGCATAGGGGAGGGGGGAGAGTGGTTGTGTTGCTGAAAAGGAAGGTGGCTTGGGGGAGAATGAGAAGATAGGTCCAGAACAAGAGGAGCGATGAGAACGATTTGACTCCTGATGTTGCTTGAAGCAAGTGGATTTAAACTGGGAGAGTGAGTACAGCAGAGCTGGTGGGATGGATGGAAGAGAATACAAAGCACCAGCACCGCAGGAGTCTTGATGGTGCACTGTTATTCTCCTCCACAGTGACACACCATGAACTCTTCTTTGAGAAAAGATAGTTAAAAGTACTCTGCATGTACCAGCAACTTCACCCAGTCCTCTGCACAACCCCCCCACCACACACCCTTTCGCTCTCCCTCTCCTGTGCTGATCAGCTTTACCTTCACACAGCGCACACAAGCTTTAAGGTCCAGACTTTGACGCTTGCATGCAAGCATGAGGGATCATGCGCCCACTCTACTCACCCGTGTCTTATAAGGAAGTCCATGATAACGAGGTTGCAGTTCGCCTTGTACTCCTTAGTGTTGGCCACGATATTAGCCACAGCTTCAATGGGTACCAGGGAAAACTCCGCTACCTCCCCATCTGTTGGTGCGGGAAAAGGGTGAGAAAACGAGGCGAGGAGGCATTGAGAGGGAGGGTCTATCTGCTTCTTTTCCATCTGTTGGTCAGAGAAGGGTGGAAATTGTTGAGGGACAGGGAAACAGAGGCCCTTTTATTGCACAGTGGAGGAAGAGGTGCTGAGGAAGGAAGTGCTTGGCATATGGAGGGGAAGAGGTACCTGGGAAGGGACAAACACACGGATGGTTTCTGAGGCACCTCAAAGGCCAAGGACGGGGCGACTGGGGAGGAACAAAGTCACGTCCCAGCGAGACAGGAGCATCACCAACGGCGCACGTACCTCTGCAATTAGAATGGCACATATTTTAGTGATACCCAAATAAAAGCAGGGTGTTTTATGTATCTAGCCATTTATCACAAATACACCCCAGAAAACGTTGTGATGAACGCCAGAGTGTGCCAAACCTGTGTCTGGTAGCTGCCGGGAGGATGTAGCAGAAGAGGCTGACTTATAAAACCAGAGAATATAACTTCCCAGCCATCTCAAAAGCAGAAGACACACCTGTGTTCCTGACAGAACCTGTTGAGGCGTCTCAAGTAGAAAAGGTGACTCCTCAGACGAGCCAAATGCAGCTGGGCCAAACCTGTGTATCTGGGAGTGAGTTTTGAGTCGAGTCAAAATAAAGCTGCAACGCACCTGTGGGAGTGAAATCAGGTGGCAGGAGGAGGTCGTAGCTAAGAGGTGACTTTCAGTCGATTCATAAAGGCAACCTGCAACGCACCTGTGTTTCGGGGGGTGAAGTCGGGCGGCAGCAGGAGGTCGTAGCAGAACAGCACATCCCTCTTGAGCGTGTTGGCTGCTGTCACAGTCTCATAGCTCACCACCCCCACTGGCACTGCCCTTCACTCCACCCAGTTAACTCCATCCCATCCCATTGCATTGCATTGCATTGCGGTCCATTCCATTCCATCCCATTCCGTTCCATAGCACTCCAATCCATTTCCATTCCATCGCATTCCAACCATAGTACCAACCGGAAAAGTCACAAAATACGAGGCCACTGAATCAGTCATGCCATCAACCGCACTCGGGGTTGCAGTCACAAAGAAACCAGGAAAGTGCATGGTGCTCTGCCATTTAGAAGAGAGAGAAACAAACGACACAAGCACAATAAAGCAGCAGGAAGCACCTAACTCGCACCAGCGGACCAGGGAAATTCTGTGGTTTCAGAATCAGCACTTCTCGCACGTATTATCTACACTATTTATTTATTTATTTTGGATTCTGTTTTTTTTTTTTTTTTTTTTTTTTTTTGCAGACCAGGAAGAGTTTCTGCCCTGTTTCTGGCATTAAAGCTGAAGTATACATTTGACATCCAGGTTTTAGGTTTTGGGAGTCGCCTCACGGTCTCACGAGCAAAGTTTCAAATTTCAAAAGTTTTTGAACCCCTTCTGTCAAATGTATACTAAAGCTTTAAGGAACTGGTGCTCTCACCTCTCTGCCAAGTGCCTTGGAATGTCTGCCTCCTCCTCACACTCCTTGATCATGTTGTCCCTGCAGCTGATGCCGTGCGGCTGGAAGGTGGGCAGCGGAAGCAAGAGAGGGGGTTGAAAGGTGGATTAAAGCCCATGCCTGATTCAAAGCGTTGAACAAATAGGGCGTTGAGTCTATGCAGGATGCTCTGTCGGTCTCATGCACTTTCTTTTGTAGTTTGCCTAACAAAAGTCTAACAAGTGTTTGATTTTAGCTAACCCGTGCATGAAGCCTAGCCCTTAGGAGAAACTTAGGAGAAACTTCAACCCTTTCGCTACGCCCGGTTTCTTTTCTATTTAGTAGGTGGATAATGTATTGAGAAAAAAGTTTGGACTGATGCACACCGTGTCCAAATTGAAAGAAGCTTCTCGTATTTTAATTGGTGGACCAATTAGGGAGGCAATACAAAAAAAAAAAAAAAAAAAAAAAAAAAAAACACACATTTTGGGATCTCGACTCCGTGATTTCCATCATGCTTTTTTCCCTCACTTAACCTTCCCGTCAACCCACTACCCAATCAACCCTCGCACCAGTTCTATCTTCGCGTACTTGCCCGCCAGCCACTAGATAATCCAGCTGGTTGTTGGGGAACGTGGGCTTTAACTGGACCATGCTTGTTCACATTCCATTCTGGCAGCCCATCAACCCACCTCCTCTCCTCCCTCACCTCAATCTCACCTGCCCGCCCGCCACTAGATGATCCAGCTGGTTGGGGAACGTGGGCTTTAACGGGGACCGCCGTGCCACCCACAGGTGGAGCGAGGAAGAAGAGGAAGAGGAGGGCAAGTGTGTGTAGCCATTCATGTGCACGCCGTATGCCTTGGTGCCAAAGAGAGGCGCTGCTGCTCGCTCGATGAGGAATGCTGGTGGCGCATAGAACGAGGCACCCACGGGATATAGCTGAAAAAAGGGATAAAGGCATAGAGAGTGAGGCATGAGGGCATAGACTGTGAGGCATGAGGGCATAGACTGTGAGGCATGAGGGCATAGACTGGTGGGTTGGAGCTCAGGGCATTGCCTTCAGGGCCAGGGGGGAAGCGAGGGAGGGAGGGAGGAAGGGAGGAAGGGAGGGAGGAAGGGAGGGAGGGAGGAGGAACAGGGGGGCATAGAATATCTCATAAACTGCCCAATGCTGCATACTGCCTTCTTCTCCCTGTCATGGTATGGTATCACATACTGGTGCCACACCTGCCCTATCGCCTCTACCCTCTCAGCAGCACCTGCCGCTTCCATCCAAGCAGTCTGATGAAAACGCCCCCCATCTACCTTCACCGCACTTGTTCGCTCTACCCTCACCTCACCATACACCCACTCTCTTCCCTCATCACACACCACCGCTCTCTGCTTTCTCCCTGGACATCAACCCCCTCTCCCCTCCCCTCACCGCAAACCATTCCCCCTCTCCCTTCGCCATACACCCCCTCTCTCCCGTCACCACACATCCCCCCACTCTCCACTCACCGCACTCCACCGCTCTCCACTCACCTCACCTCATTGCGCCAGCCAGTCACCACACCCTGCTCACGCAGCCGCTGCAGCACCCCTGCCACCGCCTCTGTGCGCTCAGCTGCCCCCGCTGCCTCCAACCGGCCTGAAAACGACAGCACTCGCCCACCAGCAGCAGTTGTGCCGCCAGTGCTCCGAATAACAAAGACGTCTCCAAATGGCTCCAGGTGCGGCCAGAAGCTTCAATGCGAGAAGGGATGGAGCACAAAGGCAAAGCGTGCCGCGTGGGTGGGTGAGCGAGTGGTGCACGAGGGCAGGCAAGGCAAGGGAGAGTTTGGAATTGTTTTGACTCGACTCAAAACACACCAAAAATGTCAATGCGGACGGGGAAAGCGCGTGAGTGAGAGGACAGACAGATTCAAAGCGGCAGCTTTAGATTACACTGCACTCACAAGCTAATGAAGAAGAGCTGTATTTGACTTGGCATGGACATTGTAACAAGACCAGCTACACAAGTCATTGTAATTTTCTGTTATGGATATAAATACTTGCCGGTTTCTCGATAAACTATGTAGAACATCTACAATTATGCTATAGTCACACAAATATGCTCTTTGCACTCACCTGTGGTGGATATACCCAGCAACCTCCCCGTTCACAACGAAGGGAATGAACTCCGACCGACGCTCCTGAGAGACGAATGCAGCAAGTGAGGATAGGGAGGGAAGTGGGAAAGGTTTGGGGGGTAAGACGGGTTGAAGGCAACGGAGGAAGGATTTGGAGGGATTTTTTCATGCGGTCAGTTCAACATGCTCGTGAGAGTTTTTTATGGGCTGTCTGGGCATGTGATGGGTTGCCTGGGCGAGGTGTGCACAGTAAGTGGGAACAGAAGTACATGCAAGCGGCTCACGCATATGCTTTGAAATGTCCCAATCCGGCACATCAACCCACCACCAAGGCCACGGCTAACAACTTAGGCACCCATTTACCCATCTACCCACCAGCTATCCAGGCCCCCCACCAACCCACCCTCACAACCCCTCACCTCCACACCCGCCCACCCACCCTCGCACCCTCACAATCCCACCCTCCTTCCCAACCCCCCCTCAACCCCCCGTCTCCCCCCGTTTCCCCCTCTCCCACCCACCACCCACCAGCCCCGCGTTGCACTCGCGGACTCGCTCCATGTATCCGGAGAGATCTCCCGGCAGCTGCGCGGACACTTCCGCCAGGTTGAGCAGCGAAGCGGGAGCGGCAGCGGAAGCGGAAGCCGATCCCCGCAGGATCGATGCGGATGGAGGAGATCGCGCGGAATCGCGGCACGAGGGGGAAACGGGGGAGATGCGGGAAATGCGCGGATTGCGGGAACCGTTGGTAGCTGTCAAGGGGGAGTGAGGAACGTGAGGAATGCGGGACGCGGGAAAGGCGCCGCGCAGAGAGTGAGTGGCGGAAAGGGAGCGGGTAGTCAGCGCGCGAGGGCTGGTGAGCGGAAGCGACGATTGCCCCGCCGAAGGCGATTTCAAAAACGCGGGGATCGCGCGGGAGCGCAGAGGACAGCGGAGCGCCGCCATTGTGAGGCAGAAGATGTGGTAGTGCTGGGGGGTTGGTGTTGATGTTGGTGTATGTACGTCTGGTTGGCAGCTAAGGAAGTGGTACGCTTCGGCGAAATGGCGAAACGACGTTACCAAGGAAAGACGTTCGCTGCTCTTTTGAACAACCGTACTTCCCATGAGCATATGCTAGACTCGTTACAACATTCATAGTCGGATTTGAAACACAAAAAATCCTATCCAAAACATGTTCCCCGAGGCCTAGTTGTACTCACATCCAATATTCATTCACCATCAAGGCTTCAACGAATGGGGACAGAGTTGGAGGCAGCTTGAGAGTGCAAAGATACAAGTTTCACTCAAATTCACTTTCTTGTCGATTGCCACACAGCCCAGAGTTGTTCAACCGATTAGCAGTTGACAAAAATCCTGTTGATCTGCAAGCCTGTTACACTAACTATACAAGTCTCACCCAAGGTGTCCAACCAACTGAGTCGTCTCACGTGGACGGCACAATGAGCCCTCTACTACGCATGTACACCACCGCCAGAATAAACGACGTGATACACGCTACAGTGCTCCCAATCACAACATAATAAAACACGCTATAATTGGCTGGGTTCTCCGGGTCGAAATACGAGCAGTCGATGTTCATCCCAAACACCCCCGTGACAACGATGAAGAAGGAGATGAAGAGAGTGGCGGTGGTGAGGAGCACGTTCATCTGCAGCAGACTGTTCTGCTTCTCGTCCAGCATTATGTTGATGTAGTCCTCCGTGTCCTCCACGTACTCCCGCAGCTGGGGGCGGTGCAGTGCGGTGGAGAGGGGTATAGAGCCATACACAGGGGCACAAAGGGGTATAGAGGGGCACAGACGAGTACAGAGGGGTAGAGAGGGGTGTTGTGTAGGGAGGGAGGAGATGAAGAGAGTGGCGGTGGTGAGCAGCACGTTCATCTGCAGCAGACTGTTCTGCTTCTCGTCCAGCATTATGTTTGTCCTCCGTGTCCTCCACGTACTCCCTCAGCTGGAAGGGGGTGCAGAGCGGTACAGAGGGGTAGACAACAGGGTGGAAATGGGTGAAGGGGGGTACCGTATGGTATGGAGGGGTATAGAGGAATATGTTGTTGATGTAGTGCTCCGTGGCCTCTAGTCCAGAACCTCGAGCAACTGAAGGATGAGACATCTGGAAGCATGGGAGCAGCGTAGAAAGGATAGACATTCATTTGCAACCTTACGTGTCACCCATGTGTTGCTGCTGTGCCAGTCACATTACGCCACATTCACATGCACATGATAGCTCCATGCCTTGATGAAATGTCCCCATGATGCTAGCTCATCCACATGCCTGCACATGTACGTACCGACCTAGCAGCGACTCTATCTCCTCAGAGTCACATTCAACACAGAAATGACAAGCCAATGGCAGGTGAAGGATAAGCCATTCGACCTACCTGTGATAGCTTATGACAGTGTTTCGAGCCGGACCAATCCCCACCGGGGAGGTGCGGTCCGGATCGATCCCATCCAGGGTGGTGTGATCCGCATCCCACTCAGCTCAACTCACACATGTTAAGCCGACAAAACATAAGTGATAAGCCATCCACACATACCGATGACAGCCTGTTGAGCGTGCCTTCGATCTCGAGAAGCATCTCCAGCTCCTCTACATCCCACTCAGCTCAACTCACACATGATAGGTCAATGGCTTACGATGAGACTACGCGCGATATGTTAACAACACGTACCGATGACAGCTTGTTGAGAGTGCCTTCAATCTGCACAAAGTACGCCTCCAGCAGCATCTTCAACTCCTCCACATCCCACTCCACCAATCTAAATTCACACACGTCAAGCCAACAAAACGTAAGTGATAAGCCGACCGTCCACACATACCGATGATAGCTTGTTGAGTGTTCCTTCAATCTGCACAAAGTACGCCTCCAAAAGCATCTCCAGCTCCTCCACATCCCACTTCTTGCTCCCACTGCTGCGGCTGCTGCTGCTGCTGCTACTGCTACTGCTGCTGCTGCTGCTGCTCCCACTCCTGCTGCTCCCACTCCTACCACTCCCACGGCTGTGGCTGCGACTGCGGCTGCCTCTGCTCCCTCTGCTCCCTTTACTGCCACTTCCTCTACCGTCACTCCCCCCTTCTGACCCCATAACCTCACCACCAATCACACCCGGAAGAGAACCCACTGAGCCTACTCCTGGCCCATGCTCAGCCACGCTGGGAAGAGAGTGACTTGAATGCCGGTGGTGGTCAGGGTGCTGTGCGTGGGAGCGTGAGTGGGAGTGCCCGCGGGAGTGCGAGTGTGAGTGAGAATGAGAGTGTGAGCGGCCGCTGGCAGAAGAGTTGGAGAGGCGGGGAAGGCTAGGAGAGGGTCCTGTGGGGGAGAAGTGAGAGAGAGACGAATGGACGGTCGGATTTGAATGCTGGGACGAAGAAGGGGGACGGCGCTGCGATCCCGAGCTTGCATGGTCATGTCGACCAATCGCTAGCAGCAACGGCTCATGCCCGTCTGACCCTGCACCATCTGAACCTGTGCTCTCCGAACCTGCACCCTCCGAACCTACACCTTCCGAACCTACACCCTCCGAACCTGCATCTTCTGAGCCTGCACCTTCCGAACCTGCACCTTCCGAACCATCTCCATCCGGAGGAATGTCATCCAGGCCAGGTGGGGAAGCACTACCAGAGCTCGGACATTTCTTTTCCCTTTCAGAAACTCCTCCTCCCCTTTTCTCTCCACGGGCAGAGGATCCGGAGTGGGAGGGCACGCCAAAGCTGAACTTATCCTCTGCCCGCCCGTGCACGTGCTGGTGCTGCTGCAGCAGCAGCAGCCGCTGCCGCTCCTCCTCCTCGCGCATCTCCTCCTCCTCCTGCTGCTGCTCTGCCGCAGCCTGCCGCTGCTGCAGCAGCTTGTCTGTGAGGTACATCTCGTCCATGTCCTCATCATCGTCTAGCAGCTGCTCTAGCTCATCTCGAACCTGCCAATAAAGGGGATGGGATGGTGTAGGGGACAAAGTAAAGCAGGGGAGATGCTGCAGCAGCTTGCCTGTGAGGCACATCTCGTCCATATCCTCATCATCGTCTAGCAGCTGCTCTAACTCGTCTCGCATCTGCCAATAAAGAGTACGCAGAAAATAAGGGAAAACGGTGCAGCAGCTTGTCTGTGAGGGCATCTCGTCCCTGTCCTCATTGTTGTCCAACAAATGCTCTAACTCAACACCAAGCTGTTGGTAGAGAGGATATGATGAAGCAGGAGCCACACAGTAGCAGCTTGTCTGTGAGTGAGGCACATACATCTCGTCCCTGTCCTCATTGTTGTCCAACAAATGCTCTAACTCAACACCAAGCTGTTGGTAGAGAGGATATGATGAAGCAGGAGCCACACAGTAGCAGCTTGTCTGTGAGTGAGGCACATACATCTCGTCCCTGTCCTCATCATCGTCTAACAACTGCTCTAGCTCATCTCGCACCTGCCAATAAAGAGGACGCGGTAAAGCATGGAACACGGGAGACAGTGCAACAGCTAGCCCGAGAGGAGGTACAACCCCTCCAACTCGCCCCACACAGGCAAGTGACGGAGATTTGGTAGAGCAGGTGGAACGGCAAATTAGGGGAGGCAGTGCAATGACTTGTCGGTGCGTGAGGTGCATTTCGTCCAGACTTTTGAGTCGACTCAAAGGTCGCCCTCATCGTCGTCAGCAAGCAGCCAGCAATGAGGGCCAGACAGGCTCTAGCGTATCTCGAACCGACTTTTGAGTCGACTCAAAAGTCAGCCCAGACAGGCTCTAGCGTATCTCGAACCTGTCAACCCCTCTCCAGCAACGCACCTTGTGCACGCATCCAGAAAGGACAACAAGGGAGCTCTTTATCTCCACAGGCGAGCACGCACCTTGTGCCATCACAAACTCTCACAGCCACACCTTCTCCGCGCGGCCTGAGATGGCAAAGGGGCTGCTCTTGATCCAAGCAGGCGAGCACGCACTCATGCAATCACACACTTCACACACTTCACACACTTCACACACTTCACACACTTCACACACTTCACACACTTCACAGCCGTCACACCCCTCACACCCCTCACACCCCTCACACCCCTCACGGCCCTCACGGCCCTCACGGCCCTCACGGCCCTCACGGCCCTCACGGCCCTCACGACCCCACCTTCTGCACGCGGCCAGAGATGACGACGAGGCGGCTCTTGATCTGCCGCACCCTCTCCAGGTTGAGCGTTGACACGGACGCCGTCAGCTCGTCCAGTGCCGGGTATGCCTCCTGCTCCACTCGGGTTGTCTGGCGGGAAGAGTGGGGGAGAGAGAGGAGAAAGAGGTGCACGAATGGGGGAATGACGCCGTGAGCTCGTCTACTGCTGGTTATGCTTCCTGCTCCACTCGAGTGGTCTGGAGGCCAAGGCGGCGAAGGGGGAGAGCAAAAGCGGTGAAAGGGGTGCACCGTGCACGAATGGGGGAAAGATGCGATCAACTCGTCCAGTGAAGGAGCAGGAGGAGGTATACCTCCTCCTGCTCCTGCTCCTCTCAGGTGGTCTGGAGAGGCCAAGGGAATGGCGAGGAGGAACGCATTGAGCCCCAGCAACACTAAACCTGGACAACAGTCGTCTCAACAACGCTTACCACGAGCGGCCTCCAGGCACACCTCGAGCATTTAGCGCCCCTCACCTCAGCACCCCCTGCCCCACTAACCCCTTCAGCCCTCACCTCAGCGTCGAGGGTCCCACAGGCAGACTCCAGTCCAGGCACACCTCCAGTGCACGGGACTCAAAGGCAACGCGTTGGGCCCTGGTTACAGCAGCAGCACACCCATTCCTTTCCACCCACACCTCTGCCCTCACACCATCCCTGAGGCTCACCTCAGCATCAAGGGTGCCGCAGGCAGACTGCAGGCAAACCTCCAGAGCGCGGAACTCAAAGGGCAGAGCGTTGGGCCCCCGCCAGGCCCGTGAGCCCATTTTTGAGGCGCCTCAAAAGGCGCGGAACTTAAAGGGCAGCGCGTTGGGCCCCCGCCAGGCCCGTGAGCCCATTCCCCTCCTTCTAGCAATACCCCTGCTTTCATCTCAGCACCCATTGACCCATGTGTCCCTTCAGCCCTCACCTCGGCGTCGAGAGTGCCGCAAGCAGACTCCAGGCACACCTCCAGAGCGCGGAACTCAAAGGGAAGAGCGTTGGGCCCCCGCCACGCCATGCCCCCCGCTTCCAGCGCCGCCGTTGCCGCCCCCTCTGCTGCTGATCCTCCTTCTGCTACTGGTGGCGCTCCTGCCACCGCCGCCACCGCCGCAGCTGCTGGTGGTGCTGATGGTGCTGCTGATGGTGTTGAAACGGTGGGTGTGGGTGGTGCTGTAGCAGCAGCAAGGTTGGCAGCTGCTGCAGCAGCGGAGGGTGGAGGGGGAGGAAAGGAGAGCAGAGGGATGCTTGCAGCAGCACGGGAAGAGACTTGTGCTGAGGTGGCAGCTGCTGAGGTGGTAGTTACTGGGGTGGCAGCTGAAGTGGCAGTTGCTGCGGTGGCAGTTGCTGAGGTGGCAGCTGCTGAGGTGGGTGCAGCAGCAGCAGCCACGGTTGCAGGAGCAGGAAGGGAGGTTGAGGGAGGCGAGAGAGTGAGAGGGGGAATGAGTTCATGCCCTAGCACCTGCAAGGAAAGGGGGAGCACGAAACGAATGGTGGGGAGGAGGAGGAGGAGGAGGGTATGTGGCGGAGGGTTGGTGGATAAGAAGGAAACCCTCAAGCTGCTTCGCCATCCCATGGCCCACCGCCGGGTACATGCCCAGGCTTTAAGAATTGAATGTAACCTGGGGTTGGACAGGAGGTGAAACGTGCTGCGCTGCCAGATGTGCTCAGCAATGGGACAAATGGAAACATGCTCATACACACCTTGTAACTGCTGCCCTCACCACACATGGTTGCTTTGCTACCTGGTGGCCTGCTGTGTGGAGGTGCAGCGGCAGGCGCGCCTTGAGATCCTCCACTCCACTCCACCACCCGCGCCACCTGCAAGTGCCGCATGCGATGTGCCTCGAGATGTGCTGTGCAATGGGGCTGATGCAAACATGCACGCACCTTGTAGTACCTGAGACCATCATGTGATGTGATGTGTCTCTCTCTCGCCTGTTGCCCCCACCACACACACACCTGCTGCCCTGTGGCATTGAAGTGCAGGGGCAGGCGCGACTTGAGCTCCTCCTCCACCCGTGCCACCTGGAAGTTCTGCTAGATTTGCTCGGTAATGGGAGGGAAACATGCACACACCTGCCACCTGCTAGCCTCGCCACACTTTCTTGCTACCTGCTGGCCTGCAGCATTGAGATGGAGGGGCAGGCGCGCCTTTAACTCCTCCACCACCCGCGCCACCTGGAAATTCCGCCAGTTGAGCAGCAGCACCTCCTCCGCCATTATTATGCACTGGGGGGGGGGGGGGGAGGAAGGGGGCAGGGAATGGGATACAGGGGAGATGGGATTGGGGGGGGGTTGGGGGAAGCAGGGCGGGGGAGGGAAGCGAGTTAAGCAGCACTCCGCCATTGTTATGCAATGGGGGGGGTGGAGGGAGGTGGGCGGGGATCGGGCGGGGGTGGAAGGGATAAGAGGACAGCCTGGGGGATACTTTTGAGTCGACTCAAAAGTCACCTCGGGGGTGGAATGGAAGGGATAAGAGGACAGCCTGGGGGATATGCGGGTGTGGCAAGGGAGGCAAGGGAAATGGACTGAGCAGCAGCACCTCCTTCGTTATTACCATGCACTGAGGAGTGAGCGGAAAGGGATGGGATATGGGTGAGAGCGAATGTAGGGGGGATGGAAGGTGGTGTAAGCGGGGTGGGGAGGGCAGAGAAGCTGGTTGAGCAGCAGCACCTCCTCCCCCATTATGATGCACTGGGTGGGGGAGGGAGAGGAAGCGTGCGCGATGGGAACGCCTCCGGAGGAGGCACGGGGTGGGATTATGAACTTCTGCCAGCGGGAGCACTTCCTCCACTCTACCATTATTAGAACTGAGGAAAGCACTGACGGGTATTGGTGGGGGAAAGCAAGCTCAGCTCACCTCACCCACTTCGATGTGCAGTAGGTAGGTTGACCACAATGGCTGGATCTCTTCCCAACAGCGAGGTGACTTTTGAGTCGACTCAAAAGTCACCTCACCCACTTCGATGTGCAGTAGGTAGGTTGACCACAATGGCTGGATCTCTCCCCTACAGCGTGGAGGGGTTGGTTGGAGTATCGAGGGCAGCGGGTCGAGAATGCGGAGGTCTCGGCACGGGACAGAGGGGCTCAAGGAGGTTCGCCAACAAACCCTCACACACCTTTTGAGGCTCCTCAAAAGGCGGCGCAAGGAGGTTCGCCAACAAACCCTCACACACCTTGATGTGCTCCAGATTGACCACGATGGCTTGCTCGCGGCCCAGCAGCGTGGAGGGGTAGGAGAGCAGCGGGTCGAGAATGCGGAGGTCGCGCGCTGGGATGGCGCAGCGGCGCATGATGGCATACTTGTCCGCCTCTATCACCTGAGGGGGGGGGGAAGGGGGAGGGGAGGGGGAAGAGGAGAGGGGAGGGGGGGGGGGGGCGGGTGGTGAAACCTACACACACATGGAGCAGCAGCGCATGATGGCGTACTTGTCCGCCTCTATCACCTGAGAGGGAGGGGTGAGTGGGGGGTGGTGGGGGGGGGGCGGGCGGAGCGGGAGGGAAGGGGGGCAGGGGAAGAGGGGTCAAGTCAACACACATGGAGCAGCTGGGATGGAGCAGCGGCGCATGATGGCGTACTTGTCCGCCTCTATCACCTGGAAGGGGGGGGGAAAGGGGGGCGTGGGGGTAGGGCGGAGCGGAAAGTGGAGAGTGGGGTCCAAATCAACACTCGTATGGGATGGAGCAGCGGCGCATGATGGCATACTTGTCCGCCTCTGTCACCTGGGGGAGGAGGAGACGGGGGCAGCGTAGAAAAAAGGGAACAAGATGAAGCGGCGTATGATGGAGTACTTGTCTGCATCTATCACCTGGTAGAAGAGAGGGCGGGGGGAAGTGGGGGGGAGATGCAGAAATGGAGGGTCCATGTATGGAGCAGAGACACATGGAGGGTCCATGTATGGAGCAGAGACACATGGAGGGTCCATGTATGGAGCAGAGACACATGGAGGGTCCATGTATGGAGCAGAGACACATGGAGGGTCCATGTATGGAGCAGAGACACATGGAGGGTCCATGTATGGAGCAGAGACACATGGAGGGTCCATGTATGGAGCAGAGACACATGGAGGGTCCATGTATGGAGCAGAGACACATGGAGCAGCTGGGATGGGAGATGGGCGGCAAGGGGACATGGGCGGCAAGGGGAGATGGTCGGCATGGGGAGATGGGCGGCAAGGGGAGATGGGCGGCAAGGGGAGATGGGCGGCAAGGGGAGATAACCAACAGGGGAGATGGAGGGCACTGGCATCAGTGCGGCCTGAACGAATTTCAGACCGCCACGCCCTCACGCCAGCTCTTTTTCGAGGCGCCCTTGATACAGTTCGACACAATCACAAGCCCTCGTTACAAATGACCCACACCTGCGTCTGTCCTGATTGGTCGATCCGCAGCCACGACCGCGCGCCAGCGCCCTTGTTGCGCCGCACGCCCAGCAACCCGCGCTCGCGCTCCCTCCCCTCCTCCCGCTCCGCCTCCTTCCGCCTCTCTTCCGCCTTCCCCTCGTCCATCCCGCCGTCCGCCGCAACCGCCGGCGACGGTGACGGCGACGGTGGCACGACCAGCCGCTTCTTGCTGCCGCTGCGGCCCAGGAGCCGCGCCTTCGGCTTCATTCGCGCGAACGCGCTGCCCCGTTTTTCGCGAATCGCCTGTCGAGGCGTTCTCAGCAGCTGGTGGCTCCACGCGGTTGCTCCCCTACTCCTCGGCTTCGCAACGGTCACGTCGAAGTGACGCCTTCGACTTCATTCCACGGCCCCTCGAAGTTTGGCCGCTAGAACGTGTTCCCGCAAACTCACTCGCCGCTCAATCTGCGACGGGCTTGAGGTGATGGAGTCTACCCAGAAGGGTCTCGAGGACTCTTCACCTGGAAGGCTCAGCTGTAGTATTATTGCACGTGCATCATACGGACTCGTGAGTTTTACAAACGTCACCTCGTTACAGTGTCACACGGAACTTTTCCTTCAGAATTCTGTGTACACATTGCACATTCCTACCGCAACCACTAACATCAATGTGTTTTTTTACAAGTCCTGTTTTCCAAGCAATCTTTAACGGTTAGGTAATTAAACAGTTCGCTGCCACATAAAGTTGTGGGTCAAACTTATCCTTGTTTCTGCATACCAGTCATAAAAGAGTAGTTAACTTTCTTTTGTGCTGCATCATTCTTTGGCAAGACAAAGAAGGGCGCAAAGCAGCTTTGGTAATTAGTGTTACTACTTACCTACGTACGGTATTTGCACGAAGCTGGCGGACGCGCAATTGGCACGAGGGGGTGCAAGAAGCAACTCTTGTTACCCAATCCATTGAAAGTCTATTCGCAATAAAGCATACTCGTCCAACGATAAGGGCTAAACAAGGAGGTCAATAGCGCCCGGGAGTACTCTGAACACTGCAGGCAGGTGCCCCAGTGCCTCCCCATCCCCTTCCACATACACCTGGCTGGCCTCGTTATTGTCACCCTCTGCTGCCGCCACCTTCATTTCAATCACCTCGGCACTGGGATGAACAGGAGGTGAGGTGAAGTATGACCAGCATTGGAAATGAGACCAGAATGCAGATGCAGATGTGTGCTATCATATATCCACACTTCGCAGGTGAAACTAACCAGAAATAGCACAGACGTGTGGTGTACATGAATGGTGAACGGGGCAGTGCCTTAGTTCGTGTGCTATCACATATCCACACTTTGCAGGCGAAACTAACCAGAAATAACACAGATGTCTGGTGTACATGAATGGCTATCCTGTTAATGTATGATAAGTGTACCTTTGTGTCTTCGTGCATTCCTGTACCTTCACATTGCACTACTCATTCTTCCACTGCACCCCTCATTCTCCCACTGTACCTCTCATTCTTCCACTGCACTGTTCATTTCCACTGCACCCCTCATTCTCCCACTGCACCCCTCATTCTCCCACTGCACCTCTTATTCTCTCAGTGCACCGCTCATTCCCACTGCGCCTCTCATTCTCCCATTGCACCGCTCATTCTCACGATGCACCGCTCATTCCCACTGCACCCCTCCTTCTCCCACTGCAACGCTCATTCTCCCACTGCACCGCTCATTCCCACTGCACCCCTCATTCTCCCACTGCACCCCTCATTCTCCCACTGCACCCCTCATTCTCCCACTGCACTGCTCATTCTCCCACTGCACCCCTCATTCTCCCACTGCACCGCTCATTCCCACTGCACCCCTCATTCTCCCACTGCACCGCTCATTCCCACTGCACCCCTCATTCTCCCACTGCACCCCTCATTCTCCCACTGCACCCCTCATTCTCCCACTGCACCCCTCATTCTCCCACTGCACCGCTCATTCTCCCACTGCACCCCTCATTCTCCCACTGCACCGCTCATTCTCCCACTGCACCTGTAATTATCTACGCCTTTGAAGCCCAAGTGGGTGCCGGAAAACAGGTGCAATCCCCGCAGGATGAACCCAAGCACCGTGTAACCGCAGACGGTTACCACCTGGAGTGGGACGGGTTAACAAAACAATACGGAAGGCATTGGCACACAAATAGGGCCACAAGCATGCAGACAGGTGCAATCCCCGCAGGATGAATCCTAGCACGGTGTAACCGAACACTGTTACCACCTGGGATGGGATGGGTGAAGAGAGCATGAGGGGAGAAAGACAGTGTGAGGAGGATGAAACATAGCACAGTGTAGCCTGATATGGTTACCTACCAACTGGAGTGGGATGGGTAACACACGCAAGAGTGAGACACATGTTAGGCAACACACACATAGACACATGTTAGGCAACACACACATAGACACATGTTAGGCAACACACACATAGACACAGACATGTGCGCAGCCATGCAGCACTGTGTTGCCAGATATGGTTACGACCTGAGATGGTTTGTGTAACGCAACCAAGCGGGGAGGCATGAGGCACAGTGTTTCCGGATATGGTTACGACCTGAGATGGTTTGCGCAAGGTGCACAAGACAGGAAGGGGAGACCTGCAAGCAGGTGACTCTGAGTAGACTCATAAGCAAGCAATACTTGCTGGATGAGACACCTTAAAGCCCAAACCGCACATCCAGGAATGAATCCTGAGCTGGGACTCCCATGCGGCCAAATATTCATCCTCCCCCCAAAGTAGTTGGCATGGCACTGACCGACCACCACAAGCAAACCCCAACTTCCCCAGCGCACATGTAGAGTGTCAGATGCCATTTGGGGTATTTTCTTTAGAATTCTAAAAAAACTCCCTGCGACGCTAACGCCACATGACACCCCCAACCCAACGCCACTCAACCCTCAGCACCCCAATCCTGAGCACCCAATCGCCATCACATCAGCACCCGATCCTAAAAACGCACATCCAAAGAGCCTGAGCTGGGACTCGCGTGTGGGCAGATCTTCATGCCGCCCCCGTAGTAATTGGCGTTGCCGATCGCAATCGTGGTGACTGCTGGAAGGGTTTCCCACAGGCCGTTGTCCCTCTGACGGCATGGGAGAGGAGGGTGTGGTTGGGGTGGGAAGGGGAGCTGTTCATGCCTCCCCCAGAGTAGCTGCCATCTCCCACTGCGGTCGTGGTGACTGCTGAGAGGGTTTCTCACGGGCCATTGTCCCTCTGTGGGGTGTGTGTGCAGACACAAGGAGGGGAGGGCGGCAGAAGGGAAGAGTGAGTAAGGGCGAAGTGGCTAGCGTTGCCCACCGCGATTGTGGTGACTGCTGGGAGGGCCTCCCAGGGGCCGCTGTCCCTCTGTGGGTACAGGGAAGGAGAAGGGCAATGGGAGGGTTGTGGTGATGTGACTGTTCGGGAGGTTTCCTAGGGGCCACCAGGACTGTTTGGGAGGAAGGGGGGGGAAAGAGTGAGGAGATTTCAGCCTCCAGGAACCCCTGTCCCTCTGTGGGATAAATGTACAGGGAACAGGATGAGAGGGAAGTGAAGGTGAAGCGCCAACCAGTGTTTTGTGCAATGTCTGAACTGAACCGAGCTCGCTGCTTTCTACCTGTTTCTCAGTTTGAGAAAACGTACAGGAAACAGGAGGAGAGGGAAGTGAGAGTGGGTGACAAACGGATTTCCGGTGACTGCTGGAAGGGTTTCCTAGACGCCTTTGTGCCTCTGTGGTATGTGCAGGGACAGGACAAAGAAAGGAGGTTAGCAAAAGAGAAAGATGGAGTAAAGGCAGATTCCCTAACATGTTCCACGGCGAAAGTGGTGTGGTGATCGCTGGAAGGGTTTCCCAGGAGCCTTTGTGCCTCTGTGGTATGTGCAGGGCAGAGAGAATGGAAGAAAGGTAAGGGCAAAGGAACGAAGAAGGGAAAGGATGAAGCAGTTGGGAGGGGTTGCCTGGAGCAGCTGTGGTTGAGGCTGGAAGGTTATCAGGGCCTGAAAATGTACCATAGAAAGCAGAGAGCATGTGGGGCGAGAAGTTGAGAGGAGGGATTAGAAGTAGGGTGAGAGGATGAAGGGAAGGGTGGGAGGGAGGGTGGAAGGGAGGGTGAGAGGATGAAGGGGAGGGTGGGAGGGAGGGTGGAAGGGAGGGTGAGAGGATGAAGGGGAGGGCGGGAGGGAGGGTGGAAGTGAGGGTGAGAGGATGAAGGGGAGGGTGGGAGGGAGGGTGGAAGGGAGGGTGAGAGGATGAAGGGGAGGGTGGGAGGGAGGGTGGAAGTGAGGGTGAGAGGATGAAGGGGAGGGTGGGAGGGAGGGTGGAAGGGAGAGTGAGAGGAAGGGTGAGAGACTGAGAAGTTGAGAAGCTATCCTGCCCTGTTGCAAGCTCGAGCATACAAGCCGCATATGACCAGACTCTGAAAGAACAACGCTCACCCCAATTTTAAAGTAGGTCTCAGTTTCGGTGCTGAGGGAAGGAGATAACTCTTGAGTCGTCTCAGGGATCAACCAACAGTGCTCACCCTGATGCTTAGGTCTAAGTTCCGGTGCTTAGGAAACGCCTTAAAAGCCGCCACAGCGTAGCAGAGAGGCCCCAGGGCCTTCAAGGAAACTGCTGCTCGCCCCACACGTGCGCTCCTGGAGGTAGGCAGTAATGGGAGAGGGGAGAGTTGGAGGTGTGGAGTGTGGTTGTGATGGGTGGCACAGAGAGGCCCCAGGGCCTTCAGAGAGACTGCTGCTAGCCCCACACGCGCACTCCATCCACTCACAGATGCACAGAGTCTCACCCACTCCCCCACTCAGCCACTCCCCCACTCAGCCACTCCCCCACTCAGCCACTCCCCCACTCAGCCACTCCCCCACTCAGCCACTCCCCCACTCAGCCACTCCCCCACTCAGCCACTCAGCCACTCAGCCACTCCCCCACTCAGCCACTCCCCCACTCAGCCACTCCCCCACTCAGCCACTCCCCCACTCAGCCACTCCCCCACTCAGCCACTCAGCCACTCAGCCACTCAGCCACTCAGCCACTCAGCCACTCAGCCACTCAGCCACTCAGCCACTCCCCCACTCAGCCACTCAGCCACTCAGCCACTCAGCCACTCAGCCACTCAGCCACTCAGCCACTCAGCCACTCAGCCACTCAGCCACTCAGCCACTCAGCCACTCAGCCACTCAGCCACTCCCCCACTCAGCCACTCAGCCACTCAGCCACTCAGCCACTCAGCCACTCAGCCACTCAGCCACTCAGCCACTCAGCCACTCAGCCACTCAGCCACTCCCCCACTCAGCCACTCAGCCACTCAGCCACTCAGCCACTCAGCCACTCAGCCACTCAGCCACTCAGCCACTCAGCCACTCAGCCACTCAGCCACTCAGCCACTCAGCCACTCAGCCACTCAGCCACTCAGCCACTCAGCCACTCAGCCACTCAGCCACTCAGCCACTCAGCCACTCAGCCACTCAGCCACTCAGCCACTCAGCCACTCAGCCACTCATCCCCCACTCATCCACTCATCCACTCACCCACTCATCCCCCACTCATCCACTCATCCACTCACCCACTCATCCCCCACTCATCCACTCATCCACTCACCCACTCATCCCCCACTCATCCACTCATCCACTCACCCACTCATCCCCCACTCATCAACCCAGCCACTCACAGGTGCACATCGGCCACGTTGATGAAGCAGCGGTCCACGGCACAGGCAGGCAATTGAACTTGCCCCACGTCCACTGCCCTGCGCTGCCCTGCGGTTGGGTCATAGGGAGGGACCCAGGGGGGTTGGTGAGGAGGAGGGGTGAGACGAGAGCAGCAGGCAGGCAGCTGAACTCGCCCCACGTCCACTGCCCTGCGCTGCCCTGCCGTTAGTTTGTTGGGGGGAGGGACACATGGGGGTGGGGAAGGGGGAAGGGTTGGTTGGAAGGAAGCAGGATGCAAGAGGGCCACAGCAGAACGCGCTACAGATGCCCGCCCTCTCACATTCCGCTGGTGTGACTTTTGAGAGTTCTCAAAAGTAACACCAATACGTACGTACAGCATCGTGGGGCGTTCAAGCACCCTGTGGCATATCGCTCTTATATAGTGTTCTTACAAGCCATAGCATATCGCTCTTATATAGTATTCTTACAAGCCATAGCATATCGCTCTTATATAGTATTCTTACAAGCCATAGCATATCGCTCTTATATAGTTTTCTTACAAGCCATAGCATATCGCTCTTATATAGTATTCTTACAAGCCATAGCATATCGCACTGCCGTTGCGTTAAAACACAGTGTATCTTCGAAATATTGCATCATACGGCATGAGACACAACACCAAATGATACAAGCTCACACCACACAGCAAGCACCACACCACACACCACTATACACCAGACCAGACCAGACCACACCACGTCACACCACGTCACACCACGTCGCACCACATCACACCACACTGCACCACACCACGTCACACCAAATCGCACCGTAGGCCACACCGCAACGCCGTACCTCGCACTATTCTTGCCACTGAAGCCTTCACGTCATTGCTCCTCCTGTTGCCACATCAACAGCCACACCAACCGATAAACATCAACCTCGCAATCCCTCCCTTCTCTCCCACTCCTATTCCTCTATAAGCAGCAGAGGTTTGTTGACACAATTCGCTGCTGTGAGCAGCTCTGATAAGGGAGTAGCTTTGATTATTTGATAAGGGAGTGAATGCTAGGTGGGTGGGGCAGTGATGACGTGACCAGCCAGAGGTGGCCTGATGCAATCCTGTGCTGTGAACAGGATAAGGAAATGAGTGCTGGGTGGTTGCTGTGGTTGACGGAACAGAGATGGGTTGATACACGTCTGTGCTGTGAGCATCTTTGATACGGAAATGAGTGCTGAGGGGTTGCTGTGGCTGACGGAACAGAGATGGGCTATTACACGTCTGTGCTGTGAGCATCTCAGACAAGGGAGTGAGTGCTGGGTGGGTGCAGAGCGGAATAAAACTGACCAGCCAAAGGTTCGAGCAAAGTCAGTGCCTGTGCCGAGAGGAATGACCTGCAGGCAACAATGATGGAGAGGGTTGGGTTGGAGACAGGTTCCGAGTCACACCTTCATCAGTTAATGCTACAAGTATCTTTTAGGCTGCTGCTCGCCTAGTCTTCATGGCTGTTGGTTACGGTGCCGAGAGGTATAACATGACCTGTAGGCAACAATATCGAGAGGGTTGGATGGCAGCGGTGAAATGGACAAAGAATGAGTGAGAGCATGAGGAGCAAACAGGGACGTGGGAGGGGTTGTGGTGAGGCATGCAAGGCTGTGTGTTGACTAACCAGAGGGTCAGGCTTTACAACACCAGAGCCTTTTTCAGGAGCAGCGGGTGGCTGGAGCTGTGGCAGTGACATTGGCTTTGCATGAATTTGAGAAGCATCGCAATCAGGTTGTTCTCCTTGCAATGCTGTTGCACGATCATCTACACTGCATAGTGACTGTCCTCTCTACACCACACCACCTTGTCTTGTCTCCATGGTCCATCAGCATACCCCCAGCGCTGGTCTTCTGGAAGCAACCTCAGTCGGTTCATAGTGACTGTCTGCACTATGCTGGTCTTCTGCATAGTGACTGTCCTCTCTACACCACCTTGCCTCCATAGTGGCACCCCTCCATACCCCCAGCGCTGGTCTTCTGGAAGCAACCTCAGTCGGTTCACTGCCGTTTCGTTCGCTGTCGCGTTGGCTGTCACCGTTTGAAGGCTCCATGTGCGCCGCTGCTTGTTGCTCCCTGAGCTCTTCTGACAGCTGCACCTCGTCCCCAGTCCGCAGCGCTTGCTGCGCAACAGCTGCCCGAGGAACCACGGGCTGCCCGTTGGAGAAAAAACCGTTCACGACCTGATGACCGGGCAGGTTAAGAGGCAATGAAAGATGGCAAGCAAAGCAGCTGATTGAATTAAGGGCCTCTCTTGGATTTTATTGAAATGCCACCCGCTTTCATTTCTGATCAATCAAGCACTGCAGAACAGCATCCATACTTCTAATATATCCTCTTGTTTTCTCAAAACAGCTGAAATGCGTTGACGTGTGCCCGGATCTTTCAGAACTGGCACCAAACGAATGCATCAATGCTGAAATCAACTACTCTTCAAATGTATTGAAAGCCTCTGCCAAACATGCTCCTTATCCCCGTTCTTCCATAATTTGCCAGCTTGCACAGACAGCAACACTGCTGTATGCACTGCACTTCCCTCTTCAGCCTTTTCTGAATGTCACATGGCCTCAGAAAGTGTGAGAATAGTTACATCACCTCAAAAGATGGTGACTGACCTGACCCCATACACAGTCAAGTACTGCACAGTGCCTTGTGTAGTGTGCTACCCCACACAAAGTACAGTAACAGGATACAGTACACACAGTACTGTTGTATCAGACAGTATAAAAGGTCACATCACCTCGTGCAGTGTGCCATCTCCCCCCACAGCCACCACCGCCTCTGCCCCCTGCTCCACCGCCTGCTCGTGAATAAGATGGGTGAGTGGATGAGTGTGTGAGATGCGTGGGGTGAGTGAGTGAGATGTGCAGTGTGCCATCTCCCCCCACAGCCACCACCGCCTCTGCCCCCTGCTCCACCGCCTTCTCGTGGTGAGATGGGTGGATGGGGTGAGAGAATGAGATGTGTGGGGTGAGTGAGATATGCAGCGTATCATTGCCCCCCACAGCCACCACCGCCTCTGCCCCCTACTCCACCGCCTGCTCTGCTTGTAATGAGATGGGATGGGTGGAGTGCGATGGGTGTGCTGGTGAGATGAGTGGAGTGAGATGGGTGTGGTCAAGGTGGAAAATTGCGGTAAGCAAAATTTCGCACCGGAAATTTTGTTCATAAACTTCGGTCCGTATTTTGTTTTTTACTGTTTGCACCGATCAAAATTCATCAATTTGCACACGAATTTCTCCCCTTTTCTTGATTTATTTTTGGCAATACTTTCCACCAATTTTATTTTCGTTTTTCTGACCAGAATTATCGAAAATTTCGCCCAAAATCTGAAAAACTCGGCTAGATTTTGCACCCTGGGTGTGGTGGTGAGATGGGCGGAGTGAGATGAGAACAAAGAAGAGGGCAATATAAGTAAGGCCCCTTGGGTGGCCGGAGAATGGCTGTAAAGGGGAGTGATACAGCGGAGGCTGGTTACAGGTCGAGTGACAATGGCTTACTGATCGTGGTTGGAAGGGGGAGGATAGGAGACAGGGAGATAAGAGGGGAGGAAGGAAGGGAGGGGAGAGGGGAGGAAGTGAAGAGAGAGGGGAAGAAGGGAGGAATCAAAGGAGACAATGAGGGTAGTGGGTGCATTGCAGCACCACGAGTGCATTCAGCGAACGAATAATCAAAGAGAGCACCAATGGCCATTCGTGACCAGAGGAGAGGTGCTCTGTGGTAGTCCCTGTTTAACAGCTCATGCAAATCTATTGCCAGCTCACCCACCTTACCTGCCACGTCACTCACCTCTCTTGCCAGCTCAGCCGCATGATAGGGGTATTCTGTGAGGGCTTCGCGCACCTGCTCATGCAAAGACAGTTGAGCAAAGATGATGATGATGATGATGACGACGACGACGACGATGCTTGTCGCATGCATGTGTGCAAAATACAGGTTCAAAGTACAACACCCTATGGGTGAGAAAGGGGACGGGCGGAAGGGAGGGAGAGGGGAGAGTGGGGGAAGGGAAGGCAGGCGTCTAGTAATCAGCATGCAAGGGAGTAGATACATTTCAAAGACACAGCATGAGATGGCCTCAAATGACCAGCATGCGCAGGGGTGATTCAAACCTACATTAAGTGGGCATGTGCGGCTTCCCATGCGAGGGAACGAGGCTATGAGTAAAGACTCCAAAAGGTGTGGCGAGCTTTCTACAGACACACTCGTGTCGCATGCATGCCGACCCACCCTCGCATGACAAACCACCCTCGCATGTCAACCCACCCTCGCATGTAAACCCACCCTCGCATGTCAACCCACCCTCGCATGTCAACCCACCCTCGCATGTCAACCCACCCTCGCATGTCAACCCACCCTCGCATGTCAACCCTCGCACGTCAAGCGTCGCATGTCAACACCCCCATCAGGGCTGTCGCTTGCTTTGGGCCCAGATATTACCAGGCTGAGCGTAAACACAACGTGAAAGTATGTTGATGGTCAATAAACACCTAAGGGCTGCGTAACACAGCCGATGTACAAGCCGATCTAAAACGGGGTGGGGTGGGAGAATGTGGAATCGTTGCGAGTAATCAGATGGAAGGAAAAAAGAAGCGAAAAGAGTGGGGAGGGGGGAGGGGAAGAGCTCTGAACGTATACTTGAAATCCGGGTTAGGCACCAAACCAGCCCTTTAGGAAAACGGGCTGGCTGCGAAGCCAGCCCTTGAGATGGCTGAGATGATCCCAACACAGCACTTGAATTTAAAGCTCGCGTATCAGATTTCCTACCGTTTAACACTTGGTTGGGTTTGACCGTCTGTGATTGGGTAACAAAAGTCGAGATATTTGACGAGTGGGTGAAAAAAAACACTGCGAACACCCAAACAGTCGAGGCCAACCCAAACCAGGGTGGGTTGGTTTGGGTGGGAAACGAACCAAGGGGGACAGGCTTGGTCCCGGGTTCTGTCAACGTTGAGTTCAGTGTCTCATATTTTCGGGAGTTGTAAACGCTTGTTGTGCACGGGGAAGTGTGCGACAGCCAACTTTCCCAAACCACCCCTTGCTTTGGTGTGCTTTGCGACAAACTTTGGTGTTACCGGATTCCAACCGTTTAACACTTGTTTGGATGGCAGAAATATGAGGCGCGAGCTTTAAGGGAAAATGCCCTGTAGCGACCGGCCTGACCCCCATGTCACCCCCCGCCGCATGTCACATCAACCCATGCTCTCTGTGAAGTCATCGCAATGTCTCACTGTGATCGTTTCTCCCAGCGACGACTGCAGCAGCGGCTTCATCTCCTCCCATTTCTTGAACGTCTTGCCGCTGCCAGCTGCCAAACGGGAGGTTATCAATAAAGGGCGTCGAATTTCTAAATGCGCAAATGCAGGGAGAGACGACACGACACGACACGACACGACACACTTATTTACCGCGACAGGCAGCGATAAATGATGGAGTAGTTGTCAAAATTGCCCGGATTTGGCGTGGACATGCGTAAAATTCCTCTTACTTGCACAAAATTGTCCAGAAAGCCCAGCAGATGCGACACGGCATTGCAGCGCACGCCATTAGCTTATGGTCCTACTATTAAGCGACGATAGCCAGCTGGCGTGAGACTTCTACCTTTAGGGTTAACGATAAATACGTAAGTGCGTGGCTTCTGGGAAACCGACATTTCGCTTCTGCTCGCGCGGGTGCCCAGGCGAACGACTCCTGGCGTAGCTGTCAGGTTCAACGCGACGACAGCCATTGAGCACATATTGAGCAACCCAGCACTCAACAATCCAGCATTCAGCAATCCATTGGACCTTAGGACTGTCGAAGGGAAGTTCTATTTACTGGATTGGATAGGCGAGTGATCAACAGAGTGCCCCTTGGAAAACCCTGGCCCTGGTAAATGACATCGAGGATGTTGTGCATCGAAGCTTGTGTCGTGTGTCTGACATCGGTACACGCGATGCCCGGTTGAGTTCCCCAACCTTGCCTTACCCTCTGGGCGTATAAGCGATTTTTGTATTTCGCGGAGCTTTCGTCGATTCGCTTCTGGCAAAAAGGGATTTCAAAAAACGTTTGTAACTCACCATTGACTGTTTGACTGCAGTCTCTTCAGTCAGACTCCAGTGTCTGTGGTTCGTATTGGTCGAAGCTCTTATAACGTGGGTGCAATCTTACAGCACAAAACCCATGGGTGCAAGGTTTCCATCTCTGACGAAGCAATTTTGCGTGCAGGGGGTGAGCATCATGTGTATTTTGTCAGGCGTTGACTGAGGAGGCGGAGCCGCGGATCGCCGCTTGGGGCTTGCTGTAAGCAGCCACCCTTCACATAAACCGGAATACAGTTAGCATTTTTCGAAAAGCTGGACGATACATGGTGTACTATGCAAATCAATGGACTATGCAACAAATGCTAACATTTGACAGTTTCTGTACTGAAATTGATGTGTCTAAAAAAATATTGCTCTGTAAGCATAGCTCAACATGTTCAAAATTTCAATCAATAAACTTAACATATACCTAGACCCAAACCTGTAAAGGAACTTATTTGACTCACAATATCAACCATTTATTTAAAGAGCAATGAACCAAACAGAGTAGGGCAATTGTACGGACATCTACCTATCATCCAGTCTGCTTTCCTGCTACTCCTGCCTCGTCCTTCACTTGTTGTTCTTATCGAGCAGCGCACTGCCTTGGCCTTTGCCTGCAGCTTATTCGCCTCCGCCACCCTCGCCTGCTTCACCACCTTCGCCTTCTCAGAAACCTACCCTCGTCCCTCTTTTTCTCCTAGGTCCTTCTCCGTATTCTCTCTTATTCCCTAGTTCCTCTTATTCTCCTCGTCCTTCCTCTTGTTCTCCTCATCCTTCCTCTTATTCTCCTCATCCTTCCTCTTATTCTCCTCATCCTTCCTCTTATTCTCCTCATCCTTCCTCTTATTCTCCTCATCCTTCCTCTTATTCTCCTCGTCCTTCCTCTTATTCTCCTCGTCCTTCCTCTTATTCTCCTCGTCCTTCCTCTTATTCTCTTCGTCCTTCCTCTTATTCCATCGGACATTTGAGGTGTTGCACTGGCAATCGGGGAGGCAATACTCGGGCGATAATGTTGGTGGGAAAATTGGGGGGGAACAATTTGGGAATCGCGTTGGCGATTGTCACGAATGTCTGTGCTCTCGCGACCAATCAGAGCACATCGTCGATACATTGTGCAGAGTATGCGTGCTAACTGCTTGCGTCGTGGGGCAAGTTTCGCAACTGCGCGTCAACAGTGAAGACTGTTCGTGCTGAAAATCTCGTCGTATGCAAGTTATCGTTACTACTTAAAGTCTCTGAAAAGTACAGTAACTTGTTAAGCTGCTTTGTTACAAATTTGCATTGTCAATTTTTTTTCTTGGAGTACTGTGTTTTCGGAGTTATGGTAGATTAATACCCAATGTTTATTATTGGAAGTCATTATTCTGAATAGTTGCTCTGTTTTAATGCTTGCAACATTGAGCTTATTATGCACTCAACGTAATATATTGTCATAGGAAAACATTTTTTGTAGGAGCTTGAAATATCTATGTAAGAGGCCATGTTACTACAAGGACAGTACAACTTCAGTTTTACCGTAGCCTCTGGTGACGAGTCCGTTGAATTTAGTCGTTGAAATCGATCGCCCAATCACTGGCGCGCGACAAAATTTCTCTCACCTGGTGTTGCGATCTGGCGCGATCGACTCTCGTGCGTTGCGACCGTGTTACTACACAGTCGTTTCGTGTCGCAAATAGGGTAACGTGGGGTCGCGACTGACTCACTTTGACCCGCGACCAATCAAGAAGCTTGGGAATCTGAGCGAGATTGGTGCCTCGCAGCCCCCAGGGTCCCCTTATGCTGAACTCGATTCTACGAAGGGTACGAAATGGGTGCGTGTTTACCCTAAATCGTACCCAAACGAGAGAAAGTATATTACAGCCGGTCTCTGCTGCACATCATCTCTTTCTACCGCTGCGAATTACATATACGAGGCACCCTTCTCGTTCCTAGGGTTTGAGACCCCGATCTCACTAAGGAACTCAAGGAACTCAGCATGCCTCTGAATTTTCCAGAATCTCATTCCTAAGAAATCTAGTGTTGCTCTTTTTCCAGAGCCTTTAATTTTTACGGGCTACTTTCACTGCTGCTCAAATATGAGGACATAAGTGACGTTTTGATAATAAGTTTCCTCCAGGAACGGATTGCTGGTGGTTTCTATTACCACTTTCTTTGCAAAAACGAGCCCCAGAAGCACCATCAACTTCCAGCCACGAATCTCCTGGGTTGTATGGCCATTTGATATTCCGGAATGCGAGTACATTATCTGCATTAGTCTTGAATGTCAGTCTAAGATCTCCCATTACTGCTCTGGCTTCTATGACAATCAAACTCTGGTTTCGGGTGCAGTTTTTGATTGCATTGGCAATCATGGTGGTATCATGCATCTGTGCTCGTCAGTTTGCTACTCGTGCAGACTTGGGAAAGCACAAGAAGTTTTGCAAGGCCACGGGATCAACAAGGCGAGATGAACAGATAGCATTCATGGAACGGGTGCAACGTGCACGAGTGGACAAGGAGCTGGAAAGAGAGCGACAGAGGCCCCGCGTTTCACGGGAACAACCTGAGGTTAGTCCACCCACTGGATCCGAACCAACCTTCCATTTTTCTGCTGTGGGAGGTCAGTTTGAGAGAGAACCTAGTCCACCC